TGATGCTGATTGGGTAGGATGTATTGATGATAGGAGATCCACCTCAGGTTATTGTGCTYTRGTYGCTRGGAACATTGTGTCATGGAGGAGTAAGAAACAGTCTGTAGTTGCTAGATCCTCAGCTGAAGCAGAATACAAGGCAATGGCACATGGTGTGTCAGAATTACTGTGGCTATGATCCCTTCTAGAAGAATTGGGGGTTGACTACGAGAAGCCAATGATGCTCTACTATGACAACTAAGCAGCTATCAACACTGCACATAATCCTGTTCAACATGATAGAACTAAGCACATTGAGGTTGATAGACATTTTATAAGGGAAAGAGTTTCCTCGGGAGAAGTTTGTTTTCCATTCATCACATCAGACGAGCAATTGGCTGATATCTTGACCAAGGTAGTTCCAAGAGGGAAAATGACACACTATATAAGCAAGCTGGGCATGATTGACATCTATGCTCAGCTTGTGGGGGAGTGTAAAGAGACTGGGCCGAATGGGTCCTAGTATCTTCTCTTGTAATATCTTTTCTTTTATTGTTGGCTAATGGGCCTGTTATTTCTTTTTGTTTAATCTCTTTATGTTACTGCCTAGTTGGCCGCCCACTTAAGGGCATACTTGTCATTACTCTAACTTTAATTCTTAATAAAAAAAGGATTAAAAGAGAAAGGGAAGATAATTCGATTCTTCTTCTTCTTCCTCCTCTTTTCGTCATCTTCTTCTCTTGTGTTGCTGCTCTTACTTTTCTTCTTCCTTTTTCTTATAATCTTCAAATTTACACCTAATATCTGAGGACTGATTTACATTTGGATCCTTGGTGTCAGTCCTAATTGTTTATGTGGATGATATTGTTGTCACAGGGAATGACCTAAGTGAGATTGATTGTCTGAAGAAGAATCTACACAAAGAATTTGAAATTAAGGATCTTGGAGAACTTAGATACTTCTTAGGCATTGAAGTTGCAAGATCAAAACATGAAATTTTTATCTCTCAGAGGAAGTATGTCTTAGATCTTCTTCAAGAATAGGGAAACTTGGAACAAAGGCAATCAGTACTCCTATTGATCAGAATCACAGAATTAATGCATCAGAAGGTGAGCCAGTAAAGGACATTGGGAGATATCAGAGACTTGTGGGTCGCCTGCTATACTTGTGTATGACAAGACCAGACATTTCCTATGCAGTAAGTGTGGTAAGTCAATACATGCATGCTCCACGAGTCCAGCATTAGGAGGCTGTTGACAGGATTCTTACTTATCTGAATGGACACCCAGGCAGAGGCATATTGTTTGCTGATCATGAACAGTTGAAACTAGAGGCTTATACAGATGCAGATTGGGTAGGATGCCTTGATGACAGGAGATCTACTTTAGGAGTATGCACCCTTGTTGGGGGTAACCTTGTCTCGTGGAAGAATAAGAAACAAACAGTGGTGGCAAGATCAAGTGCTAAAGCTGAATACAAGGCCATGGCACATGGAGTTTCAAAACTTCTCTGGATCCGTTCCCTATTGGGAGTGATTGGTGTAGAGGCAAAAGAACCTATGATGTTGTACTGTGATAACCAGGCAGCAATTAACATTTTCCCATAACCCAGTTCAGCATGACCGAACTAAGCACATTGAAGTGGATAGACATTTCATCAGAGAAAGGGTGACTTCTGGGGAAGTTTGTCTCCCATACATTGCTTCTGATCTACATCTTGCTGATGTTCTCACAAAAAGTGTTGCAAGGAACAAGCTGGAGCATGATCTACGCAAGTTGGGAATGTGTGACATTTACTCCCAACTTGAGGGGGAGTGTTGAGTTGAGACGATTTCTAGTTATTGGGCCCAGTTGTTTTTGTTCTTATTTTAAGTTGTTAAGTTAGGAATTCATCCTTTCTCTTTTCTTCTCTACTGCTGAAACTCTTCATCTTCTTCTTCTTTCTCTTCACAAGGAATTCATCATGATTTACAAACAGTGATTTCTACTTCACCTTCCTCCAAATCCTTCCTTGCATCTGTTCAGTCTAAGTTTGTTCCTAGGAATGTTTTAGAAGCACCAACTAAACTTGAATGGAAGGATGCTAGGAAAGCAAAGATGGATGTACCGCTACTGAAAAATGAGATGTTGGACATTGTCGAGTTGCCTAAAGGGAAAGAACCAATTGCCTATGAAAGAGTCTACACAATAAAGTACATAGTAGATGGATCTATTATGAGATGTAAGGCAAGGTTGTGCTAAAGGTTACACTCTAATGTATGGGGTGGATTATTTATAGACCTTTGCATCGGTGGCAAAACTTAGTTAGAGTTCTTCTATCTCTTGCAGTTTCCCATTCTTGGTTATCTCTGTGAAAAAGTTTACATGGTTCTCTTGCTTGGTTTTTATGATATTAAGGTAAAAGGGAAAGCATGGACTTAAATAGTCTCCTAGGGTATGGGTTCGGTTGGTTGATTCAAAGGATCTCTTCTAAGAGTTAGGTTTGTACAAGCTTAACCAATCACACCTTATTTACTAGAAGGAAAGGCACCTTTCCTTATAGTTCTCATTGTATATGTTGATAATATAGTAGTCATTGGAAATGATCTTCCAGAGATAGGGAAACTCAAACAGTTTCTCAAAGTTGAATTTGAAACTAAGGCTCAGTTTGGAAGGAGTATAAATACAAATATGTATTGTGTAAATCTTCTATTTTGTACTGTTTTGTATGTATTTTTACTGTACATATTTGTATTTGTACTCTTTCCAAACTGAGCCTAAAGATCTTAGAGAGGTTCTATATTTCTTACGAACTGAAGTAGCTCAGTCAAATCATGAGTTTGTTTTTTTTTTTTTTGGTCTCTCATCATAAAATCAGACAGAGAACTTAAAGACAGAAGTGTTTCGGCGTTTGGTAGGAAGGCTATTGTACTTGCATGAAATATCCTCACATATCTGATACTATGAGTGTTATTGGTCAGTATATGCATGCTCCTAGAGATACACACTTTGCTAGTCCCAACTATTTGAGGTCTTGGGAGGGGTCAAAACTATTTATCTAACTAAATAAACCCGGTGCCAATGAACTACTCCTTTTACAACAGCATAAAACAAGTAATTCATAATGTGGAAGAAAATTAGCCTTAAGAAGAGTTCTGAAATACATTACTCTGAAGATCAATATCAACTGCGTCTTATCTAAAATACATACTCTAGTAGTCTCATTGCATTTAAAATATGGCAATAAGTGCCTTTTTCAGAGGTATTTGATAGGATAAAACACATACAGAGAAAATTGTAGAAAAAAATTTTGTGGAAAGATATTAAGATGTACCTCTTCGTATGTTACTGTCATCTAACACATCATCATGTATCAAGCTTGCAGTATGAATCATCTCAATTATCTCTGCCAAGCGCCGATGTTGTGGGGTAAGTTCCCTGGATTAAAATAATAAATAAATAAATGGAAATTTGGACTATTTCAGCAGGAAATTTTCAATTATTTTGGCAGCACAGATAGCCAATGCTTGAGAAACTGGAGAAAGCATACTTTATGCCTGCTATTTCTGTTGTAGCTCTTGACACAAGGAATACTAAAGCTGGTCTGAGTCTCTTCCCACCAGCACCGAAAATCTGCTCTGCTGCAGACACTAAAACTGGGTTTTCTGCACCAACAATCTAGCATAACATCTTAATCAGATAAAAAAATGGGATGATGCTAAAAGGATTGTTACAACGTTACATGTAAATTTACAAAGGTTGACATTGCACAATAGAAATAGAATAAAACGTCAAAATTCCACCATAGACATTGATTTGCTGAATTTCTTATCATGAAGAAGAAGAAAGAAGACTCGTGTTCCCAAGTGCAATCAATTGTTCATGGTTTTCAAGTCAGATAGCCCATTTTTGTATAACCCTAAATGTGTTATATTCACATAGACAAAAATATATGGACACCTGAAGATGATAATAGGAAACAAGTAAAATGGAAAAAGGGCACCACACACCACTTCCAAGTCATTAAAGATATGATCTCACTTGTACACTAATGATTATAAGATCTCTGTTGGGATACTGCCCAACTCAGGAGCTTCTTCAAGGGAAGCTCAACCTCATGAGAAGAAAAGAGGGAAGAAGGAAATTAGGCTAATTCACTTGTTATTCTCAAGGATGAGACAAGCCAAATATATAGGAGCTCTCTCATGTAAGAGGCATGAATTCACATAGCTGTCATTATAACTGATCGGATCCAGGTCTGTAACGACCTCAGATGACTTGTTGCTAATGTGTTCCTCATGTGAACACCCGCTGAACTAAGTCACTTTCCAATAAACAGGGGAAATAAAATACACAATCTCCACTCAACCAAACTCGGCCTTAATCTAAATTATTTGGGAATGGAAGATAGGGCGCACAATGTATTCTGAATTTTTGTAGAAAATACTCCTAGTCACAAGATAGTATGACTAAGAGCAACTTGTATGGGTTTAGAAATTGGAATTAATAAGCACTAGAAAAAAAAAAGTAAATTGCAAAATACATGAACCATACAAAATCTGAACTCACTAAGATGGACAGATTTGGGCCAATAAAGGGTTTCTTCTGTTCAGCTAACCTAGATATTGACCAATACTGAGGGGTTTCCCAAAGTGAAATTTACTCACAATTTTGTGTGTGTGTGTGTGTGTGTGTGTGTATATATATATATATATACATATATTAGATAGATAGATAGATAGATAAAATAAGGTAAATCATAGCATTGAAACTAGGAAGGAAGAAGGAACATATGGAACTGGAGCTAGAGACAACCAAAAATGACATACCATACATGGATGATATTATGTTGTAGGCCCGCAGGCCTTAAAGCTGTCTTACATGGACACAAACACAAGAACCAGAGTTCAATCTGTGTCTGGGAGTCTGACTAGGCAACATGAAGAAACAAGTATTTGTGGACACATCTATGGAAAGTAAAAACTATTAAAATAGGTCAAATTTTGTTGAATACTAACATTTTAAAGACTATAAGAAAATGTTTAGAAGATTATCTTTGTTATTTAATAACATTTTATATGAAAAACAGCATTCATTGTGTGCATTAGCTGTTTGTTTATGTAAATAAGTAGAGAAAAAAAAGACGACTGCCACATAGAAGTGTCTTTTTAAGAATCCATGGTTGGAGTCCAATGCATGTTTGACAATGGATACATCATCCATTTAGGAGAGTCCATGCAACACTGCCTCAAAGTCAAGGACAAATATACAACCCAAGGCTGAGAAGCAATGATTATAGATACCACACAGCCCAGGCCATATCTTGGTGGGTACTCAAGCTAAAAGGTCAGAGTCCTTCAGACAGTCAGTGACGAAATACCACATCAATAGACTTTTCAAATGAACCGGTTGCCTAAACGCTTTTAAAATCTGAGATTCTGAATAGTTCAAGGGATTGTCTATATGTGTATGAGTGCATCAATCATATAAAACATATTTTAAATCAAGATACAGGAATGAAAGACCCTTGAAGATCAGCATTATATTAGAATTTATAACGACATCATTTTTTTAAAAAAGAAAATAAAGAAAGAAAGAAAAGAAGGAGAATATACATTTACAAGGTAAACATCCCACTTGGTTCTAATGTTTCTAATCATCCAAAAGTGTACAGCATGCAATATACACCTTTATTCTCTTAATGGTGTTTATTACGCTGTTAAACAGTGATCAGTAAAACAGATCATTTTGTTTTTGATAAGAAACAGAAAAAATTTATTGAGAACTTATAAATAGAAGTTTACGAGTATGGTTACACCCCTACAAATACAAAGAAACACCGAGAGCATAACCCTAGCTATCTCTCCCCACTTGTGTCAATTTACGACTAAGCCCAAAACATTTGATTTCTATTTAACCCTTGTCTTGCAAGCAAATCACCCAGACTATTTGCAGACCTTTGAACCCATAAAATCTTTAGTTGCATGTCTTTTGACAGCCATTTGAATTTCTTTATCTCATATCTGTAACTCCATGGGACCTTCCTCTCATCCTGCAACCAACTTATCACACTCTTTGAATTTCCTTCAACCATGAATTTCTTTGCATTCATTACCACTGCTTTCTCTATTCTGAACTTGCAGCCAATATTTCGGCTCTAGTTGAGTCCCCTACCCAATTCGCCCCGAGTAAATTGCAATTATATTACCTTTTTCATATTTAAATGCTCCTCCTATTCCCAATGGTCCAGGATTCCAAAAGCTGCTTGCATTGAAGTTCATCTTTATAAAACCCCTTTACAGTGTTGGCCAAAATTTCACCACCTTTTCCTTCATAGATGAGGATCCTGCTAGGCTGCTACTGCTGCCCACTTCCTCATGATATCATTGAAGGGTAAAGATGAGAATAACTCTAAAGTCTTCACCCAAAGAACCACCCTCAGTGAAATACATTCAATAATTGCCTCTTTATTCTCTCCTTATCTTCAAACAACCTAGCATTCCTTTCCTCCCAAGCAGCCCACACCAATGCTGCCCGTGTACATTTTCTTTCTTGAATAGCATAGTTTATTAATTTTAACAGGTTTGGAGAGTCCTTATGCTAACAATTGCTTGAAACATAGATCTTTTTTGAAGCATAGATTCCTAATAGGTCTTATAAAAGCATAGCCCATTCTACTATATTCAAATTGATCTTGATAAACTTTCACAATGAAAATTTTCTAAGATTTTGTCCCATCAAATTGCTTCATTGTGTTGAGATGGATGAGTGGAAAAACCAAAAAAGACAGTCAGAAGAGAACTCACTCGTAGGAACCTAGGAGTAACTCCAATAGGTAAAAAAATGAGGAAAGGACTCTGAGATAGGTTAGTCATGTGTAGAGAAGACCATCTACAACACCTGTAAGAAGAAATGATCTATTACAAGTTGAAGGGACTAGGAGAGCTAGGGGCAGACCAAGGACATGAGTTGAAGGATTTAGCACCAAACAGAAGTGAATGGAAAAACAGGATTTATGTTGTCAACCCCATATTTTTGGGACCAGGGTTGGATGTAGATGATGAAATTGCATCTTTACATCTTTCAGAAAACCATAAGAACTAGAAAGCCAGTGTTCAAGTTATCATGGCATCAAGCATATGGAATATCTACCTCCCAAACACACACAAAAGTAAAGAAGTTAAAGCAATGTTAATAGAAATCCGGACATTCAATTTGGATAATTCAGAACAAGGTTTTGTTAAGGTGCCTCAGTCATATAAATTGAGGTATGTGAGGCTTAGCCAAAAGTTCTGTAAGACAGGTATAGGTACGATTTGCTGACAAAAGGTGAAACAGGCATAATTTCAAGAATGAAGCAAGCACCCCGTATGAGGCATATGCCTTTTTTTGGAACCCCAAGCTCAAGGAGTGGTGTCTTTTTTATATAGATAAAGAGAAAGGTTTTATTAATGAAAATTAAGAAGATTACAAGGAACCACAGAGGGGTGCAAGGTGCAACCTCTAATAAGCAATGAGAGAAAATTACAACTGAGCCCAAAACAAAGGAATATGTCTCATGTACATCTCACATATCTTTGAGCACAATAAGAAAATCCAGAGAGAGATTGTGGTTTTGAAATCCAACTATTGTTAGTAAAAGTTAACACTGGTTGGCCAAAGATAAAACAAAGGCAAATAGAACAAACAACCGAAAAAATAGCTGCTTAATCCAATGTATTTATTCATCCACGAAAAAGCTGGATCCAGGAAAGCTAATCATCGTGCTTTAGGTGAAGTGTAAAGCTTTAGCATCTTTAGCCATTGGCAACAAATTGACCGAATCACATAACTTGACACCACAAAAGGACTGGTAGATCAACCCAACAAATTGAATAGATATAGATGTTGACAATATTGACAACCTGAATAGGCAGCGAAGAATCCGAGAATTGCTATACACTAAATACGATAAGAACCATAATTTCAACGTCATATTTCATATCTCCAGTAAAAAGAAATACCGAAAGATGGAGGTAAAGTAAGCATACAGTGGGTAATTTGCGAAACAGTAGCCAAATTTCGGAATTTTCAGGTGGGTGCTCACCGATTTGAGATTTTTGTTCAAAGTTTGGAGGTCATCAGCAACCACTTCCAATAAATTCGATACTGAAACAGGGCCTCTAGGCTTTGAACTGACATCCAATGTTGACGCAGATTCTTGAGCAACCACTAGAAAAAAAGTAATTGGATTCATAAGGAAAAGAAGTTGTCTCTACAGCTGTTGAAACTTGTCTGGGAAAAAGAAACAAACAATACCATTCAGCACTGGCCGATCTCTCTGAACGGAAGAAACTCTGAACCGAGCAATGTCCGGCCGACCCCAGATCAATTTCCGGGTACCAGTTGCTATTCCCCTTGCATAGTTCCTGACGGGAAATCCGTTAAGTGACATCCCACACCGATTGGAATTGCACCCACAAGTAGTTACCAAATCCAACCTTGACCGGCCGACATCGAAGTTCCGGCATGTCAAGGATACCATTCTCAGCAACACCCAGAACCCAGAAACACTAAAAAAACTTTCTAAAGAAGAACACCCCACTTCTCAATCAAAACCCAGTTCAATAACATACTAATATTCAAATATACGAAACACCCAAAAGACCAACACTCAAATAACTAATAAAAGCAGAGAGAATTTAGAGAATCCTTGAAAGAATCCAGAAGATGTTAAATAGGCCAGTCAGAATTCAGTAGATTCTAAATGAGTTTTGTAGTTAAATGTGTTTCTTAACAGGGGAAGCAAAACCGTGTCAGTTGTCGGCTAGAGGATGAGAGAAGCTTATTGAGTAGATGTTGGTTGAGAGAGATTTTAAGTGGATCCATGAGGTCCACATGTACAGTTGTGACTGCAAGAATTTTTCTTTATCATTTTGAAGACGCAGAAAATAAAAGAAAAATAGTAAATAGGGTAGGGTTGGGATAATATTGACTTACCAAAAGAAGATCAATGATTGGATCACCCGCCAGTGAGTCACCAGTGATCTGACGTGGCTAAATGCATTACCTCAAGTACAAGAGTCGAGGGAGTCATCTATCCATGTTGGAGAGGAAATCTCTCTCAAGGGCGTCTTCCGTTGGACGGCTGAGGTTGTGCCCCGTGCAAAATAATTACTTAAAGTGATTTAAATGTGGAAAAGAACAAAAAGAGAAGAACAGCGAAGTATGAGGTAGGCGTACTGACATGCAGAGCGATAAGCTTGGTCCTTGTATTACTTTTATGTTAACAAGATATCTTAGCGTACTGACATGTAGAGCGATAAGCTTGGTCCTTGTATTACTTTTATGTTACCAAGATATCTTAGCCCTTGCTCTTTGCATTTGTGTAGTCACTTCCTTCTTACAAATAAAAATAAATAAGGTTAAAATTGAAAAACCTAGGGCATGTTTGGTAATTGGCACCATAGTTGTTTTTTCATGTAATAAATATATTTGTCTTAAAAATTCTATGCATATTTTTTATTATTATTTAAACCAATTAGGTGTCATTAGATACTATATAAATCAAAAAAGTAAAAAAAAAAATGTTGGCACCATTACAAGACTTTAATGGTAACTTTTTTTTATAACTTTCACAATGGTAACTTCAGATTTTTCTTTTAACTTGGGGGTGTTTTCTAGTGTGAATGAGAAATTGGTGGGTGTGGACTGATCCACACCACACCCTATGACAAGGACCAATCCACATGACACCAAAGTCCACAACTATTCTGAAATGTGGACAAATTATGTGGACTGAACCAGTTCACACCCACAGTGGCATTCTGTAGCGTGGTGTGGACCAATCTGCACCATACTTTTTTTATTTCATGTATCTCATATACATTATATGAATGATGTACACAGTTAATCATAAATATCTAATTTTTGCATTTTATATGATAAATATTTTAAAAAATGTATCAATGAATTAATATTAACCGATAAAATAATAAATATTATTTTTTCATAAAACAATAGTAGAATAATTAAAAATTTAAAAATATATTTTAAATATTTAAAAATATTATTTTATTGATAAAAGCATTAAAACTTTATAAAAATAAAAAAATTAAGTAAATTAATTAATATTTTAGATCATACAACCGAAATGCATTTGTAAGAATTTCAAAGATAAAAACCGAAGGTGTATCTTTATGTATCTATAGTTTGTCTTAAATCACACAGCCTCTAACCCCTGCTCCTTGAAACATAGGATCAAAAATAAACCCTGGACGCGTGGGACGTATCCACGAGTTTTTCCCATTGACGATATATTGAGGTGTTCTTGATGTACACAAGACCTTTACCTTTTCTCAAAAAAAAAAAAAAAAAAGTTGAAACAATCATGACTATATGGCACTAATGTCGTGCATTTATAAAAATAAATGGCAGTAATACCAAATACCTACCAAATCTACAACATGATAAGTTAATACATAGGCGTACGGTGTTAATGTTAGGTGTGTTTCATGCACACGGACCTATACACATACCATTTACGTTAAATTGACATTTTTAAAAGCGGATTAACTGAACTTGATGACTATTTTTGTGGGCTATGGGGTAAATAATAACATGTTGACACCCCCAAGCCGGTCATAGATGTGCATGGGACACAATGCTATTATTGGTTCCACATCCCATAATATAGCCATCAAATTCAATCAATCCATTCTTTATGAAATCAAATTTCCTCCTCACAAAATCGGTCCTCATAACCCTTATAATCGTACATTGGGAACATCTCCCCATGACTGAAAACATACAAATATAGAGATGTTCTTGATGTATGGATACAAGGGCTATGAGGTAGGTGTGAGGACTAATTTTGTTAGGAGGAAATCCAAACTCAATTTTGGCAATATTCACTCTTGATTGGTCTAAGGACCATTTTCGTTTGAACTTGCCTAATTCAGTTGATTGGCGTATTTTGATTCTAATGAAGAAAACAAAAAGAGAAGTTCCAAAGCACTAATTATGTGTTCGGTTTGAAAGAAAAACTAGGAGAAGGGAAAGGTAGGGAAATGGAAACCTACACAAGGTTTGTACAAGTTTCCCTACCTTTTTCTAAGGGGATGTTTTCCAATATGAATGTTTTTAGTTTCTTTTGTTTTTGAAATTCCTACATTAGCAAGAAAATAAAACATGTTATTGAAATGTATTTTTTGTTTCGAAAAGAAAAAATAAGTTAGGGTCCGTTTGGTTCATGGTTGGAGTTGGAATGACTTATGTTGAGATTATGTATAGTGGATAGGGACATTATTGCCCTTCTCTTTTATTTGTATTTGGGTGCTCATTTAGGGGCATACATGTAATTTTTTATTATTAATAAAGTAATATTGTTAGGTGAATAGTATCACATCATATTCTCTCGAAATGGCTATTCTTCTTCTTCTGCTTCTTCTTCGTCTTCTTCCTTTCTACTCTTCCTCCATTCTTCATTTACAACTTGGTATCAAAGCCTAGGAAGACATTAAAAGAGTTTTCTCTACTAACCCTTGAACCCAAGAAGACCTACCGATGTCAAACTACTACCAAATGTCGTCAACAGTTTATACATGTGCTGATGGTAACCCTTGAATCTAATTCAAATTAGTGCAAACCTGAATTTTAAAAAGGTTTTGGTATGGGTCTCATCTTTATTTGATGCTTCCATGCTTTTATCATATTTTCAAAAAAAATTATAGAAAATTATAGGTTTGATACTTGGGATTTTCTCTCTCAATCTAAGGTTGGTTCTTCTTTGAGACATGTTTTTTTTTTTAAGTCATTTTGCTTTTATGGAGATACGGGAAGTGATTTCACATTTTTCTGAACCCTAGCTATCTTTTTGGAGGCTTTTATTCTCTTCCTATATTACTGTCAACCTTGTTTTAGCCTCCTTTTGGCCCTCAATCGGGTGTTGACCTGCTCGATTCTAGTGGGTTTATTGTGTGTTGGTTGGTTGTTGGAGTAATGTAGAGCTACCGAGATGGAATTGCTTAAAGAAGTACAAACCATTTCTAAAGTGCTCCTGAGTTATGTTATGACAACCATTATAAAACTTGATGAAACAATTTTTCTAAAGTAGTCTCAATAAGGCAAGCTTACCATCGAAGGAAGAAATATCATAGGATTACGAGCAAAGTGTTTACCAAAATTTGATGACCCCAAGTTTACCAAATGAGAACAGGATAATTCATTGGTTATGCCATATGGTCAGTCTGCTCGATGCAACCACATATTGCCACGTGCTCCTAGGTTAAAAATACATGTCATATCTACCAACCACAAAGGGAAGCTTGTATATGCATCATGGGGAAAGGATTGTAGCTATGCACTTCTCTTCCATACAATCTTTCTATTGATAGATGGACCATTTATAAGCCTTGTAATGGAAAATTTAGAGGATTGTGAACAATATTGAAAATATGTTGAGGACCAAATGTTTGATTTCTTAGTGGGTTTGAATGCCAAGTATGATTTTACCTAGCAACACATCTTGAGTGCAAATATTCTTTCCATTACCACTACATACTCCTTGGTACAAAGAGAAGAGAGTAGAGGGCTGCATCTAAACTTCAATAGTTGAACATTCGGTTTACATGTCCTCCAAACTTAAGCAAAGTCTAAATAGATAGAGTGTTAATGAGAAGACTAATGGGGAGGTATGTGAATGCTACAAGAAGCCAAAACACACTAAGGATTGATGTTGGAAGCTGAATCCATATTTGAAGTCTAAGAAGTTTAAAACAACAAATAAGGGAGCTATAAATATTTTATCTTATTCATTAATGATTATTCTTGATACTATATCTAATGAAGAGTATAGATAAGTTCCCTCCATTATGTAAAACTTCTTTAGAATGGTGGAATTCAATTTGAGAAGAACATAAAGATAATAAGGTCTGACAATGCTAAGGAGTATTTTGAAAAGAATATACAATTCTTCCTTGAACAAAAAGGGCAATTCATTAGTGTTCTTGTCTCCATACTCCACAACAGAATGGTATAGCAAAGAAGAAAAATAGACATGTGGTTAAAGTTGTTAGGGGCTACTTTTCAAACTTTCTTCGTGGGGATAAATGCAGTTGAAGCAGTGATATATCTCATTAATAGACTTTCTTCATGGACCCTTTAATCTCCTCATCAACTTTTTTTTTCTGATGATCCTATTTGTCTTCCTCTTAAAGTCTTTGTCTGTAACTGCTTTGTTCATTATTTGAGCCATTTTCACCTTAAACTTGTCATAAGTTCATTAAACATGTTTTTTTTTTATTATTCTCCTATCCAAAAAGAATGTAATTGCTTTGATCCCCATTTCAACCAATAGTATGTTTTTAAGAATGTTATTTTTCTTAAGTCTACTACTTTTTTTTTCAATTACCTTATCCTCTTTAGGGGAGAGTGTTAGTGAAGATTGGATTCCTCTTTGTCTCCTTGTTCTTTCTCTATTGGTATTCTTGGTTCATCTTCCTCTTTTCCCACTTTTAGTGATAGTCTTCTTGCTCCTTCTCCTCCTCCTATTTCATAGTAGTAGCCTTGGTAGTAGTGGTTAATAAGACACAAAAGGAATGTTACTTGTGAGGTTTAAATGTTTACAACAACTTGATCACTCAGTTCTAGGCAATTTTAAAAGCAATCTTGAACCTGAAACTCTTGTTGATTCTAAGCTTCTTTTTTCTACTTATACTTAGCCTTATATCTTATAGTCTAACATTGATCTTTTCATTGCAATTCGAAAAGGAAAAAGAAAATACACTACCTATCCCATCATTAACTATGTTTTTTATGATTCCCTTTCACCTTCCTACTATGCCT